CACACACACACACACTCACACACACACACACACTCTGAGAGAGGGGGTTTTACCATCACAAACTGCTCGTGTTATTGTGATGAATATTTCAGGATTTACAGATCACTCTTTTCCATAACATGTTTCCGGGTCATTCTCGTTGTCGTCAGTAAATGCAGGTTTTTTGGGAAAACTTTATCTTTGAAATTCTCTTAATAATTGAGCCGTTTATTGGTCCTTTTGACTTCAAACTCACATGGAGGGTTGTTTATGCACGTGTGGATCATGAATCTATTAAAATAACTAATAGTAAATTACAGTATAATAAATAATCAATAATAGTGTGGATCATATCATGATATTTTTAATCAAGGATCTATGGACATTTGAGATGCTACAGGTTTTTACATCATATGTGGCAGAAGAACATTTGGAAGGAATGAACCGTTTCATCACCAACAGAAACACGAGAACAGAGTGGAGAGTGTTTCCTGTTGTGGCTCGACTGAAAACATTGACAATTTGCAGAAGGAACAAGACGCGTCATGTATCGGTCTATATCTGTCACTACACCACTTTAGTCACATAGAGGCGCATCGGAGCGTATCACTTTTTTTTATTTTTATAAGTGTGTGATTTATCACAGCGACCTTTCCTGTTGTGTTCTCCTGGCGCCCCCTGGAGTCTGCTGTGATACTGCAGGACTCAGAGGAGGGACACTTTTGGCTCTTGCTCTCAGACAGTGTCCTGACACTGATCTGCTGACTCTCCTGACCAATCCTCTGTCCTGTATATAAACTGTATATAAAATATGTGTTTCTCACCTTCCACGGTGGTTGGTCTCTCTCTCCCTCTCGTTCAGCTCGGCTCTTCTACCTGAGTCCTGGGAGCTTGAGTTCTGTGCAGTGTTTTTGCTGTTCCCAGTCCTGCACTTTTCTGTTGTTTTTCCTGGGATCTGCTGTAGCTTCTTCCAGTTTGGGGGCCTTCTCCAGCTCTTCCTTGAGCCTCTGGTATTTCTCTAGTTTCTTGTGTTTTTCACTTGGTATTTCAGTGTCCACCGAGTGTTTCACTTCATTTGTGTTTTGTCAGTGCTGCACCTTTAGTCAGAATAGTTTAATTTTTGACCCTTTACCTGAGGGACCTGCGTCTTTCATCTTGTAAAAATGATCTGTTGTTTTCAGACCTGAGCCTCTGGAAAAGTCCAAACTCCAGCCAAACCTGCGGCACAGAAGAAACATGTCCATGAGTCCCCTTCCAACCTTTCACCTTTTGTGAGTGATGTTTTTATTCAGTCTCAGAGTGTCAGAGCACAGAGCAACAATAATAATGAATATCTGAGGAAACATTTTCTAAAGCTGCTCAAATGTGAAGTTCTGTGTGGGAGTAACATCCAGAGTGGATTTATGTTCTGGTTTATGCTTTTATTTTGTTTTCTTAATGTTTCTTTTACTGAAACAAATGTGTTTTTATTTCTGTTATTGGTTCAGTGACTCATAATTAAACAGAATGAGTATAAATATAATGAGCTCACACTGAACACTTTTTAGCTGTGGCTGCTTCCTCTCCCCACTTTAACTGATTTATTTGGAAAAGGTGCAGTTCATATTAACAAACATATGTATGATTTGAAAGGACAGAAGCAGACAGGAGCAGACAGGAGCAGACAGGAGCAGGAGCAGACAGGAGCAGACAGGAGCAGACAGGAGCAGACAGGAGCAGACAGGAGCAGGAGCAACAGGAGCAGACAGGAGCAGACAGGAGAGCAGGAGCAGACAGGAGTAATTCAAAAGCACAAACTCATGAGGGGAGTTTGTTACATTTCATTGTCGGGTTTTGCTTTGAGAACATTTAAAGTGCGTTGACCTAAACATAAGATGATATTTTCTTCTTTCACACAAGTTTAACATCAGGTCACTGCTGCTGTTTTACTCTCTAATGTTTTTTTGTTTTGTTTTTTTCAGTAAAGTCTTAAAGGAGTGTGAGGGACACTCTGAGTGTCAAGCTGAGCTCAAACAGACAGCAGGAGGCGCTGTGGAGCAGGACTGTTCCAGAGTCTGGAGAGAATCACCAGGCCACAGCAGAACACAAAAGTAAGAAGAAGAAATGCACATTTACACTACGTCCTGTTTTGTTGTTGTTAATGTTATTGTTGTTCCAGTAAAAGTTCGTCTAAAACAAACCCACATTTGTTTTTCAGGTGAATTTAAGAGGAGGAAGGTGGGATGTGACAGTGGATCTGAGGAACTGTCCCAGACACAGAACGTCTCAGTTCTGAAGAAGATTCTGGACTGGACGTGTGGGATTGACTCAAAGTGTCTCCAAAGATGAAAATTGCACTAAAATGGATAAAAATGACTAGAAACTGTGAAAATACCATATTAAAATATTAAAACACCATATACACAGTTTGGTCGAGGAAAAAAAGTTCTGCTTTAAGCACAGGACTCGGGCAAGTCATCTGAAGTGAAAAAAGAGGTGGATGCTCTTAAGACCGAATTACAGTTCGACTGAACGTACACTGCCACTGTCGCCTTGTTGCTGTTGTTTCTGATTTCTGGATCTGCGTGGAGGTCTATGCGCCACAAAGTAATTCACCACCACAACCACCACAGCCTTCGTGTTTACAAAATGAAGTGGGAAAGTGGAGTACTGGAAATGGATGTAGAGGGGATGTAGAGAACCAATCACAGCTCTAATTGTCTGCGTCACTTTCCCCTGCTGCCTGCGTCGGTTCAAGTTACGAAATTTCAGAGGTGCACGTTGTGGATGTGGATGTGGATGTGGATGTGTAGATGCTCTGTGGAGGGGCTTCAAGGCAACACAGACTCCGTGTCACAACGCAGACGATTGACGAACATAAATTGGGCTTCACAGGAGCAGTGACGATGTGTTTGAGTTTTCTTTAGTATTATTTACCTGTTTTAAAGATTGTATTTCTCCACTTTCAAACATGAGCTGTGATCCGTTCAGGGGATTTTTCATTACATTTCGTGTCAAACTGTGTATATCTTCAATTGTGATTTTGTTTATTATTGAATTGTATGTGCACTGCATTGTAAGAATAAAGTGTTTATTTCTATAAGGAAAGAAATGTGATATAAACTCATTTTGTACATGTGTCTTGGATTAAATGAAAACTGTTTCAGATTTCTCACAGAACTTCTGCTGCAGTGTCTGTTGTGTTTGTTGTGTTGTTGTTGTGTTTGTTTGTTTGTGTGTTGTGTTGTTGTGTTTGTTGTGTTGTGTTGTGTTGTGTTGTGTTGTGTTGTGTTGTGTTGTGTTGTGTTGTTGGTGTTGGACAGGGGTCTGTTGGGGTCAAAAATCCTGCAGTTTTATGCTGATTTTAGTGAAACAGATTTGGCTGAATGACTCGTCAGAACTGGATGTGTTTTGTTTTTTTTGTTGTGTTTTTTATGACGTTACACATAATGGGATTTTTAACACGCAGGTAAACTCCTTCAAACAGTAACTCTTTAATCTGAATATCTGCAGACTTTTAACTCAGAAATGCAGAAACTGGAAACAGCAGAATCAAACTCAGGTCAGAAACAGAACTTACACTTCTTTTGGTCAAGAACAAAAACTGAACAGAACCTCTCTCTGTTCAGTTTTTGTTCAGGCTGTTTCTCAAATACAAGTCGTCTTATCTCGGTCTCATCGAGCTGTGGTAAAAAAGACCGATATATCGGTCGATATTTGACCTTTTGAGTGTACCTGCATATTATATAACTCTGCATTATTACCCATAATGCACCAAGATAATTTAGAAGAAAGAAAAGAGGGTCATGGATCTGTGTTGCTTTCAGTTCAGTAAGTATCATAATAATTTTTAAATCAATCAATAAAATATATGATGTAATAAAATACATGACACACTGTGAGGATGTTGTATATATACAGTATATACAGTACATACAGTACAGTATACAGGTATATTACTACACAGTATATATATACAGTATATACAGTATATACAGTATATACAGTATATAGTACAGTATATACAGTATATACAGTACAGTATATACAGTATATACAGTATACAGTACTGTATATACAGAGACCTGAGGTTGTTGCTGCTGTGTTTATAATCGATCGGCCTTTAGAACATTTAACTCATCATTTATTTACTTGACACATTTTCTGTTTTTTTTTTTTTTTTTGCTTCTGGCTCGTCTCTGTTTATAGAACAAACATAAATAACAGTATCTTTGTCACATTATGTAGGAGACACTTGGGCACAGTTTGCTTGTGCGTGTGTGTGTGTCTGTTCCCTGAGAGGAGGTGGGGTCACGTGAGCGTGGGGTGTGTGTGTGTGTGTGTGGTGTGTGTGGTGTGTGTGTGTGTGTGTGTGTGTGTGTGTGTGTGTGGGTGGAAAGCATAAATGGGCACACTCACCTGGGCCAGGGGAGGAGAGAGGTTGGTTGGGTAGCAGTAATTTTTGTTGACCGCTATTGCTTTTGTTTCTGGTTTGACGTTTTCAAACAGTTTTCATTTTTTACGATATCCTTGTTCTTGGTCCATATACTTACGCTTGTTGCTGTGAACCCAGCTCTGTATTAAACCACCGTAAACGCACACTGGATCAGCCTCATCTGTTTTACATCGCATTCAGCGCGTCCTAACTTTTACAGAACCCAATTTTACCTCCCCGCTGCTGCCAGGAAACACAGTATCGTAGAGCCGCTACACATTATATCAAATTTAAAACATAAATAAGATGTTACGTTCAACAGTTTGGTCATTTCAACTATACTTTACTTGTACTTGAATTACTACTATTCCCTTCACAGTAATAGTGTTTTTACTCTGTGTATTGTCACCAGTGCAGTACTTTCCTTGTAGTACTAGTATTTTGTAAGTAACTCATAACTCCCCCTCTGAGTAAAGAGGCTGTGTGTCTGTGTGAATATCAGTGGTTTGGGATAAAAAGATTATAGCACCATCTTCTGGCGAGTTTTGTCATTACTTTTTATTTTATTAAAACAAATTATTTGTATAAATGAAAATTGTATCGATCCCTTGTTTATCTTTTGTTTTATATCGTCTGGCACATTTTTGTTTTCATGTCAACTTTTTTATTTGGTTCTAAACTGCAACTCGTTTGAGACTAAAAGACAAAACTTGTCACACTTCCGTGTTCTAATGTCGAAAGTGAAAGTAGAAATCCGGGATACGTGGAAGAAACTTGTTGCAAAGGTAAGTGCGACATAAAAACAATTATTGTTCTTTAACTTTAATACAAACACTTAAATCTGATGTGGTTTGACTGGGGGAGTCGAAAATGTTTTGTTTTGTGTGTGAACATTTGAACTTTAGCTGTTCAGTTTTATTTTCTTGTATAATTTAAAACTGCGTCACAGATCTGCGTTTGTTTACAGCTAAAACTCTTCATTAAAACGCAGTTCTTCAAACCCACTCGTGTCCTGAACAAACCTGATATAAAGAATCATTTGACAGAGGTGTTTTAACTTTCAGAAGGAACAAGAATGTCTTTTAAAATGTTATAAAGACTTTTGGCCTTTGTGACGCACTTTTACATGACGGTTCATTTGAATCACCTAAACGCGAAATTCACAACAATATTAAAGAATCGATCTGTAGCTTTTATGCAGATTTATTTTTGTCCCAGGTGGATTTTTGACAAATCTGATCCCTGCAACAGTAAAAAGAGACAGATATTGTCATTTGTTTAGGTAAAATACATAAAAGCTGCTTGAAAATTATAAAAACAAAGCAAATGTGACTGTACTGACTCACATTAGTGCTCAGTGCAGAACAATTTTCCTTAATTACGATTCGTTTCATAGTTTTATTATTACCAACCAACACAAACCAGGATGTCCCAGTTTTTTATTTTGATAATCTGGTCATGAATCCTTCTCTCAGACACAAATAAACCAAACCACAGGCCTGTGCTATGACACTAGGCCTCAGTCACGCCTTAGTTTTGTAACTATAGTCATCATCATAATAATAATAATAACACACTGTGTGTTATACAGCGTGGATCTATTATAAGAATAAAACAATATTTTATATATAGTCTTCCTTTGGTGGGTCAGTACTTGTGCTTAATATTTATACAACACAGGAAGTGGAAATCCTCATCTTAAAATAAAACTGTTGTCATTTATTTTTATAATAACAACAGTCATTTATATTTTAGACCTTGTTAACAGTCGGTCTGTGGCACTAATGAACTGTACATATTTGTAAATAGTTCTAGTTTAGTCACATGACCACAGCTTTTTATAAAAGACTTTCCTGTTTATTCTTATTGTTCTTAAATCTAGACTTGAAAGTCAATACTGATTCCAGCACCACGAAGATAGTAAAAAAAAACTTCCTTTTTTACAATACAACATGATTTTCCACATTAAATTGTAACACTTCCTTTTCTGTTCCTGTGTGTCTTTAAATCTGTTTAATCCCTCATGGTCCAGAAGGTTCCACAGGGCTCCGTGTGTGTACACTCGTCTCTGTGTCTTGTTCTTGTTCTGAAATAGTTCCAGAAAGTTCTAAACACATTCAGGAAAGGTTCACTTCTGTCCTGTCAATGGGACTTTTTTTTTAGTATCGATACCTGCTCAAATGAGTATCTAGTTTCGATACTAGTACTATTGATTAGTATCTGATTTTCGATTCTTGTGACCACAGTAAATATTTTATCCTGGTGTCTGTTTGTTGGTCCTGCAGGTTCATCTTCTCTCAGACAGAATGGAGAGTGACAGAACATCTGACTCAGCTCCTGCTCTGTGAGTATCACCTCCTCATAAACCTAATTATACGTCGTCTTTACTCTGTCTACTATGGCTTTAATTATCGGCCGATACCTGATACCAGCTGATACCAGACAGTGTTTCTCATGAATAGATTAGTTCATTGGGATGTTTATAGTTGTGGATCAACTCATCATCATCAACTGCAACTGAATATTTTACCAAAACTCACATATCTATTTCAGTGTTTGCCCATTTTCATTCCATTTTCATTTATTTTTCATTCTGGATTTCACGGGCGACACTCTGGGTGTTTCTCAACTCCTCCAAAGACAATGCTGGTGCACTTCTTCAGAGTCACATGGAGCGCACGTGGAACAGGCTCTGGAGAGAGCGACTGTGACGTGTCACATGACCAAATCAAAAGCGATAAAACCCTGAGTTTTAATGAACATCAACACTTTTAAAAAATGAAACATATTCTCAGGTGTTTTTATGTGTCACATGAATTAAAACATGTGAATAATAAAAGCTCTGTGAATTCTGTTATCAAGTGATTTAGACTGATCAGTAAATAAACAAACACGCAGGCTGAAACATCTTCAGATGATCCTTTTATCCTCGTCCTGTCCTCAGAAAGATTCTGCTCAGTCTGATAATATTGTGATCTGCAGCATGTGCTCCCGTCCCTGCAAATCACGTCCACATGTTTAGTCTGAAAGTGACGTCTTTTTGGAACAATATTCTCACATGTATTACATGTTCATCTTTAGATAATCTGTTCAGCCATTGTCACACACAGTGTAAAATCTAAAATGTTTATTAGTATTTTACGTACTTGTTTCTCTCCTGGTTTCCACAGTTAATGGGTTAAAGTGTTGGGGTCATGTTGCCTGTTTAACATTCATCACTGTGTGGTTCTAGGTGTATTCTGTATTTGTTTTGTAATGCTGCTTTATAAAAGGGGAGAAGGGCACTGGGCTGGAGCAGTGTGGGTTCTTTTGACCGTGTTCTGTGGCAGAGATCTGGTGCCAGTAAATATCGGGGAACACAGTATTTTTGGGACTTTTTACAGAAGACACTCGTCTAAGACCAAACACGCTGTAGCCAAAACCAACCCTGTATATGGCAAGATTTGGCCTCGACAATTACTGAAACATGAAACAAAACACAATTCTCGGATGTGTGTAAGGAGGAAGCAACATTAAAATATTTTCAGATATTGTAGCTGTTGTTGGTTTTATCTCCTAGTTTAAAGATGAGATAAATAATGTCACTATTTCCATATTGTAACAAACACTGTTGTTTTCAGACATGAGTCTCAGGACTTGACCAGGGGATGGTTCAGGGTCCGGACCAAGACTTGGACCAGCAGCAGACCAAAAGACCAGTCTCCACTCTCCTCTGAGGAGTCTGAGTCTGAACAGAGGTAAGAGACGGAGCTCTAAAACTCACTGTCAAAAGACACACACATCAGTTCAATTAATATGATCAGAAAAAAAAAAAGTGTTTTTAAAGTGTGATGTTTTGTTTTATATATTATTTACACACAATACTGTGATCCCAAAATACATACATTACATTTGTTACATGGAAAAATAGTGTTTAAAAAGATATTGTGCTTGTGTCTGTTATATATTTATATTTTTAAGGGGCTCTTCTTACCTCTGCTCACAGAAAACACAGAGGACGAGCTCTGGGCTTTCTGCATCCACTGAAGCAAAAATAAACATTTACATGAGTTTACTGAAAAACACTTAAGTAAAAGTGTGGAGTGGAGAACACTGCAGTAGAGCTCATCCTTCACCTGCTGTAGTCTTGGTATCTTCATTAGAAATACTTTAACCATGTGATTTGTTTCTTTTAGTTGAAATATTTTTGACTTTTGGATGGCCTGGGAATTTTCTCATGACAGATCCACTGTATCTTTCTGAGACTGACTCACTGTGATTAGCAAATACATTTAAAACGAGCGTAAAAGGATAACACATGTGACATTCTGCTGTTCACCAGGTTAACTTGAGGTGTGCACTAAAGTTTAGCCACATTTGGCTTAATGTACAGAAACTTTCTGATGTGTACAGAATAAAATCAACACCTCAGTTCAAATAAATGTAATTTTTTTACCTGATATGTAGCGTGCTCTGCAAACACCAGCACTGCTTTGTCTTTGCCCTCTGTTCATCGTGTTCATCATTACCACTGGTAATTGTGCAGGAAAAGTTTCAGATTTGCGGAATTTCAAATATGGAACTCTGCTCCAAATTCACCCGTCTTCACCTTATTCCAGAAGTTTCTGTGAGCACAAACCATCATCGTGTGGGTTGTATTATTTTGTGTGGGGCTGCTGATCCTAACAGTGAATAAGCCTCCAGAGAATCAGTGACTTGTTGGTGCACATGAAACTGAACATTTTAAACAAAAGAACCGACTTACTCATACTGAAGATGCAAAACGTTTCCCAAATTCTCCATTGACAGAAGTGCCACCACAAAAAATTTCCAATATAATTTGGTTTCTTTTCCTGTTTCAGACATGACCTGGCCCAGGGGACGGCGCAGAAGACGGCGCTCAAAGGAACTCCCGCCTTTCATGGAAAAGTCTGTCCTCTTCTAAACTGCTGTAAGTGACTTATTCTGCTTCCACTGTGATAAAGTTACTGCTGCTGTTCAGTCTAAAGTGTTTAGGATCAAGCAGTTAATAATTATTAGAAAAATATGTTTTTTTATTCATATTGAGACATAAAATAGAAATTTGTGTTTTCTTACACAATTCAAACCTGTTAGATTAGTTGATTATTTGAATATCTAATCAGGTTTAATCTGATGCACAAAGCTGCATCAGTGACGAAAACAATGCACATAAATGTAAAACATGGAGCACAAACAGCTCTGTGCTCCCCTCATGAGTCTCTTAACTCTAAACTAAACTCTAAACTCTAAAACTCAGTGTGATTTCCCTGTACACATCACTGCCCTTCCACATGACGGAGCGATACACCAGTGTGGCCAGAAGAGGGCAGTACTCATCGTCATTTTGTGGGTCTATTATAACCTGCTGTTTTTCTGTTTACAGACGCTGGTCCAGAGTTTGGAGTCTTGGTGACCCTAGGCGACGGCCTAGTGGACCTTCAGTCCCAGGCGACGGCCTAGTGGACCTTCAGTCCCAGGCGACGGCCTAGTGGACGCTCAGTCCCAGGCGACGGCCTAGTGGACGCTCAGTCCCAGGCGACGGCCTAGTGGACGCTCAGTCCCAGGCGACGGCCTAGTGGACGCTCAGTCCCAGGCGACGGCCTAGTGGACCTCAGTCCCAGGCGACGGCCTAGTGGACCTTCTAGTCCTAGGCGACGGCCTAGTGGACCTCAGTCCTAGGCGACGGCCTAGTGGACCTTCAGTCCTAGGCGACGGCCTAGTGAAGTCTCAGTCCTAGGCGAGGCCTGGAGGCTCTAGTGGACCTCAGTCCTAGGCGACGCCTAGGACGCTAAGTCCCAGGCGACGGCCCAGTGGACGCTAAGTCCCAGGCGACGGCCCAGTGGACGCTAAGTCCCAGGCGACGGCCCAGTGGACGCTAAGTCCCAGGCGACGGCCCAGTGGACGCTAAGTCCCAGGCGACGGCCCAGTGGACGCTAAGTCCCAGGCGACGGCCCAGTGGACGCTAAGTAGCGACAACCTAGTGGACGCTAAGTCCTAGCGACGGCCCAGTGGACGCTAAGTCCTAGCGACACCCAGTGGACGCCAGTCCTAGGACGCTAAGTTCCTAGGCGCCCAGACGCTAGTCCTAGGGACGCTGGACGCTAAGTCCCAGGCGACGGCCCAGTGGACGCTAAGTCCCAGGCGACGGCCCAGTGGACGCTAAGTCCCAGGCGACGGCCCAGTGGACGCTAAGTCCTAGGCGACTAACCTAGTGGACGCTAACTAGCGACGGCCTAGTGGACGCTAAGTCCTAGGCGACAACCTAGTGACGCTAAGTCCTAGGCGACGGCCTAGTGACGCTAAGTCCCAGGCGACGGCCCAGTGGACGCTAAGTCCCAGGCGCCGGCCTAGTGAACCCTCACCCCCAATTCACACCAAAGTGCAACGGCGCGTAAGTGCAGCAGCACAGCACACGAGCAGCAGACGCGCAGCTTTAGAACTCCATTTTAACCGGTCTGACAGTTCACACCGACAGTGTCATACACACGTCCAACGAGCGTCTGACGCTGACGCGCTGCTCGAGATAGGTTGGAGTTCTAATTTTCTAATTTTTTCAGCGTCATCTGCGCGTCTCCAAGGTTTTTAGCAGGGGAAAGACAGGAAATAAACACGCGGTGTCAAAATAAACTTCGGATGCCCTTACAAAATAACGTAACCAGAGTCAAGACAACGACGTAAACAACGCGCACTGCATCCAAGGAAAGGTTAAAGAAGGACGATGAAAAGTTAATCCTCGAAGTGAAGAAATATAACGTAATTTACGATGTCAGACACCAATTCTACAAGGACTCAGGACTAAGCCAGGACTAAACCAGGACTAAACCAGAACCAGGACTCACTGTCTGAATGTGCTCGGAGGTCCTTCCGTGTCGACCCGAGTGACCGCGGGCGAAAGGACTAGTGCAGAGCTCGGAGACGAGGAGGTACGTGCACCCGTCGCTCTTTTCGGACACACTGCTCCGTGGGGCTCAGGGTTCACTTTCTCTCTCTCCAAGATTAGTCCTGGTTTAGACCTGGTTTAGTCCTGATGTAGTCCTGGTTTAGTCTTGACCCGCCCTTAAAGTTCCAGAACGTTAAAACTCGCCCGTTTCAGCAACTATTTTCCCTTTATCCATCGGTGCAGGACTCTGTATCCACATATAAACGTATCGACCTTATTACCTGTACAGAGATTTTAATCACACTCATAATGTTTGTTAATTATAAGTGATTTCACCTTATTAAAGAAAAAAAAAGAACACTGAGGTGTTTAATGTGCTAATGCTAATAGATTTAAACCCCATTAAATGCAACTGTGTTGCAGTTGTACTTAATTCACAATACACTTAATACACATTCTAACTTAATACACTTTAACATAAAATAAATGATAAAAAGCAAATACAAAATGTGATGTCTGAAAACAGTGAGTAGATGTGCAGGCTGCAGCAGGAGCGCGTCTGACTCTGGTGTGAATTGAAACTTTGAAATATACATGCAGCTCCGCCCTACATTAATCGCTGCTGCAGCTCCTGGTGTGAATTCGGGGTCAGTGAACCTCAAACCTAGGCGACGGCCTAGTGAACTGTGAAACCTCAAACCTAGGCGACGGCCTAGTGAACACTACGTCCTAGGCGACGGCCTAGTGAACTGTGAAACCTCAAACCTAGGCGACGGCCTAGTGAACACTACGTCCTAGGCGACGGCCTAGTGAACTGTGAAACCTCAAACCTAGGCGACGGCCTAGTGAACACTACGTCCTAGGCGACGGCCTAGTGAACTGTGAAACCTGTAAACCTAGGCGACGGCCTAGTGAACACTACGTCCTAGGCGACGGCCTAGTGAACACTACGTCCTAGGCGACGGCCTAGTGAACACTACATCCTAGGCGACGGCCTAGTACGCTAGGCCGGTAACACTATCCTAGGCGACGGCCTAGTGAACTGTGAAACCTCAAACCTAGGCGACGGCCTAGTGGACTCTATCTCCTGGACGACGGCCTTAAGTGACTTTCCCCCTCCAGAAAGTTACATACTATTGCTTTAATGTTTTTGACTCCCGCGTGCTCCACTTGCAATCATCTGTTTTTAATGTTTTCTTAAATCAGAATGACTTAGTCGTTACCTTTTTTGATTAAACTGTATTTGTTTTTTAAACTGTGCATTGCTTTTGCCTACAACCTGCAATAAAATGATTCAATCAAAATCGTGTCTTTATTGTAGTACTTGTGCTTTAGTGATATAACGATAAAGTTTAGTGTCTGTTACATCATCTCTTCATTAAAGGGCCCAGATTAAACCATTTTATATTTCTGTTCTAATGTTTCCTCATCACAAACAGACCTGGAGTATGTGTTTGTTTTTCACATGTTTAACACACAAACCTGCACATTTAGGCCGAGTTCTTCTCTCAGACAGAAAACACTCTGTTCCACCTTGTGATGTCATGTGGTAATACAGAAGCGCCCTTTGTGTTTTTAAACTCCTCACATCTTCACACAACCTGGAACTTGGCTGATAAAACTGTGTCATTCGTTCATTCGTTTTTCAAAATAAAATGAAAAATAAGAAAAACGAAAAAACAACTATTTTCTTCATATTTGTCTCCAAAACTAAATGAAAAACAGATAATGATTCGTTGCTGTTTTCGATTTTGTTTTAAAAGAAAAATTACTTAATCTGACTACCAGGACTAAACCAGGACTGACAGGACTGAACCAGGACTGGACTGAACCAGGACTAAACCAGGACTAAAACCACTAAAGCACTAAAAGACAGACAACTAAACCAGGACTAAAGACTAGTTGTCAACAAGACCAAAACGTTGAACAACTAACCGTGAACTAACCAGTCTCCACCAGGATGCGGGATTCAGATCAACAGAGCCAGACTAGGTGACCAGACCAGACAAAAAGGTTTTTAGTCCTTATTGTCCTGTTAGTCTGTTTAGTCCTGTTTTTCCTGTGTTTAGTTCCTGGTTTTAGTTCTCTTTCTCATTGTCCTTTTCAGTTTTTTCCATTTTTTTTCATTTGTCAAATACTGCAAAATTTCAAGTTAAAAATGGTCACCTGACAACATGCATGCAAAACCTGGTTATCTGTAAGTCCTTTGTTAGTGTCGAGTATGTTTAGATGGTTTTATTTTTAAATTTAGTACTGTCTTGTAGATTTTAGGCTTTTTCTTTTTTATATTTTTTCCATTTTCATTTTATCTAATTACACTATTTGATTGATTTGCATAGTTACGTCCTTTTATAGGCATCTTTTTCTAGTTCATTTTATTTTGAAAAACGAATGAACGAATGACAACACTGTTTCTATCGGCCGTTCCAGGTCTGTGTGAAGATGTGAGGAGTTTACAAACACAATGGAGCGCTTCTGTATTACCACATGACATCACAAGGTGGAACAGAGTGTTTTCTGTCTGAGAGAAGAACTCGGCCTAAATGTGCAGGTTTGTGTGTTAAACATGTGAAACAAAACACAACTCCAGGTCTGTTTGTGATGAGGAAACATTAGAACAGAAATATAAAATGGTTTAATCTGGGCCCTTTAATGAAGAGATGATGTAACAGACACTAAACTTTATCGTTATATCACTAAAGCACAAGTACTACAATAAAGACACGATTTTGATTGAATCATTTTATTGCAGGTTGTAGGCAAAAGCAATGCACAGTTTAAAAAACAAATACAGTTTAATCAAAAAGGTAACGACTAAGTCATTCTGATTTAAGAAAACATTAAAAACAGATGATTGCAAGTGGAGCACGCGGGAGTCAAAAACATTAAAGCAATAGTATGTAACTTTCTGGAGGGGGAAAGTCACTTAAGGCCGTCGTCCAGGAGATAGAGTCTACTGGAAGGTACTATGTCACTTTGAGTCCTAGGACAGGGACTTTAAGGCCGTCGCCTAGGTCACACTAGTAGCGTCCACTAGGCGAGCCGACTGAGCGTCCACTAGGTTGTCGCCTAGGACTTAGCGTCCACTAGGCCGTCGCCTAGGACTGAGCGTCCACTAGGTTGTCGCCTAGGACTAGACGTCCACTAGGCGTCGCCTGGACTGAGCGTCCACTAGGCCGTCGCCTGGGACTGAGCGTCCACTAGGCCGTCGCCTAGGGTCACCAAAGACTCCAAACTCTGGACCAGCGTCTGTAAACAGAAAAACAGCAGGTTATAATAGACCCACAAAATGATGATGAGTACTGCCCTCTTCTGGCCACACTGGTGTATCGCTCCGTCATGTGGAAGGGCAGTGATGTGTACAGGGAAATCACACTGAGTTTTAGAGTTTTAGAGTTTAGTTTAGAGTTAAGAGACTCATGAGGGGAGCACAGAGCTGTTTGTGCTCCATGTTTTACATTTATGTGCATTGTTTTTGTCACTGATGCAGCTTTGTGCATCAGATTAAACCTGATTAGATATTCAAATAATCAACTAATCTAACAGGTTTGAATTGTGTAAGAAAACACAATATGAATAAAAAAACATGATTTTTCTAATAATTATTAACTGCTTGATCCTAAACACTTTAGACTGAACAGCAGCAGTAACTTTATCACAGTGGAAGCAGAATAAGTCACTTACAGCAGTTTAGAAGAGGACAGACTTTTCCATGAAAGGCGGGAGTTCTTTGAGTGTCGTCTTCTGCGCCGTCCCCTGGGCGGGTCATGTCTGAAACAGGAAAGAAACCAAATTATACTGGACATTTTTTGTGGTGGCACTTCTGTCAATGGAGAATTTGGGAAACGTTTTTGCATCTTCAGTATGAGTAAGTCGGTTCTTTTGTTTAAAATGTTCAGTTTCATGTGCACCAACAAGTCACTGATTCTCTGGAGGCTTATTCACTGTTAGGATCAGCAGCCCCACACAAAATAATACAACCCACACGATGATGGTTTGTGCTCACAGAAACTTCTGGAATAAGGTGAAGACGGGTGAATTTGGAGCAGAGTTCCATATTTGAAATTCCGCAAATCTGAAACTTTTCCTGCACAATTACCAGTGGTAATGATGAACACGATGAACAGAGGGCAAAGACAAAGCAGTGCTGGTGTTTGCAGAGCACGCTACATATCAGGTAAAAAAAATTACATTTATTTGCACTGAGGTGTTGATTTTATTCTGTACACATCAGAAAGTTTCTGTACATTAAGCCAAATGTGGCTAAACTTTAGTGCACACCTCAAGTTAACCTGGTGAACAGCAGAATGTCACATGTGTTATCCTTTTACGCTCGTTTTAAATGTATTTGCTAATCACAGTGAGTCAGTCTCAGAAAGATACAGTGGATCTGTCATGAGAAAATTCCCAGGCCATCCAAAAGTCAAAAATATTTCAACTAAAAGAAACAAACCACATGGTTAAAGTATTTCTAATGAAGATACCAAGACTACAGCAGGTGAAGGATGAGCTCTACTGCAGTGTTCTCCACTCCACACTTTTACTTAAGTGTTTTTCAGTAAACTCATGTAAATGTTTATTTTTGCTTCAGTAAATGCAGAAAGCCCAGAGCTCGTCCTCTGTGTTTTCTGTGAGCAGGTCTAAAGATGAAGAGGTAAGAAGAGCCCCTTAAAAATATAAATATATAACAGACACAAGCACAATATCTTTTTAAACACTATTTTTCCATGTATCAAATGTAATGTATGTATTTTGGGATCACAGTATTGTGTGTAAATAAATATAAAACAAAACCTCACTCTTTAAAAACACTTCCCTGCCCCACACAGTCCCATGTTGTTGTTTTTTCTGATCATATTAACTGAACTGATGTGTGTGTCTTTTGACAGTGAGTTTTAGAGCTCCGTCTCTTACCTCTGTTCAGACTCAGACTCCTCAGAGGAAAGTGGAGACTGGTCTTTTTGGTCTGCTTGCTGGTGCAAGTCTTGGTCCGGACCCTGAACCATCCCCTGGTCAAGTCCTGAGACTCATGTCTGAAAACAACAGTGTTTGTTACAATATGGAAATAGTGACATTATTTATCTCATCTTTAAACTAGGAGATAAAACCAACAACAGCTACAATAATATCTGAAAATATTTTAATGTTGCTTCCTCCTTACACACATCCGAGAATTGTGTTTTGTTTCATGTTTCAGTAATTGTCGAGGCCAAATCTTGCCATATACAGGGTTGGTTTTGGCTACAGCGTGTTTGGTCTTAGATGAGTGTCTGATGTAAAAAGTCCCAAAAATACTGTGTTCCCTGATATTTACTGGCACCAGATCTCTGCCACAGAACACGGTCAAAAGAACCCACACTGCTCCAGCCCAGTGCCCTTCTCCCCTTTTATAAAGCAGCATTACAAAACAAATACAGAATACACCTAGAACCACACAGTGTGATGAATGTTAAACAGGCAACATGACCCCAACACTTTAACCCATTAACTGTGGAAACCAGGAGAGAAACAAGTACGTAAAATACAAATAAACATTTAGATTTTACACTGTGTGTGACAATGGCTGAACAGATTATCTAAAGATGAACTAATACATGTGAGAATATTGTTCCAAAAAGACGTCATTTTCAGACTAAACATGTGGACGTGATTTGCAGGGACGGGAGCACATGCTGCAGATCACAATATTATCAGACTGAGCAGAATCTTTCTGAGGACATTAACCTTTCTGATTTCAATTCAAGTAATGAGCATACAAAAGTGTTATCTAAGGGCCTTACTTTTGCCCCTACCAATGGTGTTAATGAATTTCAGACTAAGGTTGACTTATTCCGCTTCTATAGGAACTTACATCTTAATTATAGTATTATAATACTAATAACAACCAGGCTGTGTCTAACGGGTCTGTTACCTCTATGGGGAATGGTATTCAGTCAACAAATTTTAAACCTAAATCAAGATTTTCACCGACTGTTTCTAATCCGACACTACTTACTTTTACGAGGAAAATTGACTATGAGGTAAACAAATTAATACAGAGTAATCCATAATCCATTCCTTCCTAGGAATAATCTATCTCACAAGGAGCGCAAAGCCCTAAATGAACTTTCTGATAATACAGATATAAATAATTCGTCCAGCAGATAAGGGTGGTGCTGTAGTCGTCTTATCTAAAGCTAAATATGTGCAGGAGGCTCATCGACACGAGACATTATGAAAGACTCTTTACCAATCCTTTGTTAGTTATGAAAAAACAATTTGATATACTCTTAAAGGAAGCATGGGACATGACAATTATTAATGACAACAAATTTGTTTTTTTTAACAGTTGAACACCCGGTTCTGGCAGCCTTCTATCTGTTGCCTAAGGTCCACAAGGGGCCCAAGGACAATCCCCCTGGACGTCCTATTATATCTGGTAATGGCACTCTCACTGAGCCAGATACCAAATACATTGACTACTACATAAAACCTTTGGTAAGAAGAATACTTCCATCTTTCATTGAGGACACTACAGATGTACTGAACAGGATTGGATCTTTGCCGAACATTAAAGACCAGTTTCTTGTGACAATGGATGTTGAAAGTTTGTACACTAATATTGAACATCAAGAGGGTTTATCTGCTCTAAAATATTTTCTTACTGAGAGTGACATCCCCAAATCTTCTTGTGATTTTTTGTTAAAGCTTACAGAATGGGTTATTCATAATAATATTTTATTTTTATGGATGAGCTTTATATTCAAAAGATTGGGGTTTCAATGGGTTCTTGTTTTTCACCAAACTATGCTTGTTTATATTTGGGTCTTTGGGAGAAGAACTTTGTTCTTAATACAGTTAATCCATTTTTCCATTGTATCACTTGGTTGGTATGGTCGCTATATTGACGATATTTTTGTTGTTGTTTAATGGTACTTTACAAGAACTATTGGAATTGTACAAATATTTAAACTCTATAAACCCTAATATTAAATTATTAATGGAATATTCACAAAACAGTATAAACTTTTTAGATCTTACCATATATTTAAAGGGGAAGGGGACCGTTTGCACACTACATTATATAGGAAAGAAACCTCACGTGATACTATCCTTAGAGCAGATTCATTTCATCCTCAACACCTTAAGCACAACATCCCTTTTGGGCAATTCCAACGTCTACGTCGCATTTGTAATCGGGAAGAGGATTTTGTAGAGCAGGCAGAGGCTATGTCCAACCGGTTTTTTGGATAGGGCCTATCAGCCTACAGTGGTCAGAAAGGCTTGTGACAGGGCTCGAGCTTTTGATCGGGGCACTTTACTCACTAAAAACAATACGGCTAGATCTAAAGAGCTATCTCAGCCTATGTTTATCACCACTTACAGTACTAGTGCTGAACAAATAAAAAGATTGTTAGGGACAATTGGTCTATACTTTTAAGTGACCCTGTATTAAGCAAAGTGTTTCCTGAACCTCCTTTATTTTCTTTTAAACACGCTCCAAATCTTCGAGACAGATTAATGAATTCTTATCTTCCTCCAGAAAACAAAAGTACATGGCTACAAAAAACCCATGGGCACATTTAAGTGTTTGAATTGTCCTCATTGTCCAAATGTCCTTCAAACAAAACACGTTCATGGATGTTCACAATAGTAGATCATTCACACAAAATTATTTCATTAATTGTAATACTACTCATGTGGTATATAACGTCTGTCTTGCCCTTGTCCAGAAGGCTTTTTCTATATTGGCCGCACTAAAAGGCGTATGCGAGATCGTTTAGCTGAGCATAAATACACGATTAGGGTTAAAAATCAAGATTACCCAATGGCCATTTTTGTGAGAATCATAAGAGCAACGACACTCTGCTTCGTATTGAAGGGTACTGAACATGTGAAACCACTGGCAAGAGGTGGAGACAGACTTCAAACATTAAATCAAAGAGAAGCTTTCTGGATTCATAAACTGAGAACATGTGAACATCCAGGTTTAAATGAGGACTTTGATCTGTCCTGTTTTTTATAATTTTATTTATTTATTTTATAATATAAGGTTTAATAATGTTCTTTTAATAATGTTGCATTTACAACCACTGTAGGCTGATAGGTTCTTTAGGTATATTATTTATTATTTGTTATTATAGTTATTATTATGATGGCAATAATAATAAAAAATATTAAATACTGAATGATAAAAATAACACTAATATAATATAAATATTATAAATATATATATTTAAAATTGATGATACAAACTATAAATATGAATAAATAATTATTAATTTTATTATTAATATATTATTGGTAACAGTAATAATGGAAACATTATGGTTATGATGTATGTGTTGTTGTTGTTTTTTTTTTGCCTGTAC